GGTCTTGGTGGTCTTGGGTTCTTGGTGCTGTGCGGGGGAGTCTCACTGTTCCTCTCACTCCCAGTTCCAGTGCTGCTCAGCGGGGACACATTTCCTGGGCTCCGTTGCCTTGCACATCTTCCGTGCTGAGCTGCTTTTTAGCTCCACCGTCTTCTGCTGGGCAATCCGCTTGTCCTGTTGAACCCTAGGAGTCCTCTGTGTTGGGGGCAGCAGTCTTCATGGCTCATCGTTTGTGACTCATCCTCCCTCAGTCTGTGGCTTCTCTCCTGCCCTCGGTGTCCTGTATCAGTTGGAAACCATTCCAGTAAGGAAGTCTGCAGGTCCACATTGCCCACTGGTGCATTAATTCTCTGGACCTTTTAGAGAAGAAAGACAGCCATCCTACACAATCTCTTTCAGAAAGCAAAGGCGGGCACCCCAGCACTCGTTTTCAGAGGTCACCCACCATTTCCTGCAACAACACACCCAAACTTCACTCTTCTTTGCAGCTGAGTGTATACACTCCATGTGTATTTGTACCACTTCTTCATCCATTCACCTGTTGCTGGCCATGACTTGGCTCTTGTGAGTTTTCCTGCTATGGACATGGGCACGCCCGTGCCACCAGTGTGTGGACTTTGACTCTTGGGTGAATACCGAGTGGTACAGCCAGCTCACATGGTAGTTGCATCCCTAATTGTGGAGGGATTTCCATACTGACTTCCACAGTGGTCATACTAATTTCCAGTCCATTAACTGTGTGAATGTACCTTCCCCCCATCCTTACCTTGAAACCGCCATTCTAATGGGATGGAGATGGAGTCTCAGTGTAGTCTGGGTTTGCATTTCCCTAATTGCTCACGATGTTGAACATTTTCCATGTCTCTATTGGCCATTTGTATTTCTTCTTGAGAGAAATGTCTCTCTAGTTCACTGGCTTTATTGTTTGGGTTATTTTATTTGGGGCCTGAAGTGTTTCTTAGTTGGTCCTTTGGAGTATGCGTCTTCTGTTACGTCAGAGGAGTAGCTGGCAGAGACCCCTCCCACGTGGGGGCTGGCCCTTCTTGCTCTTGTGCTCTTTCCTGTGTTTAAATCTGATGCGACTCATTGATGAGCCCTTGATATTTCCTGCGCTATGGGGTCCTCTGGAGCAGTCATCGCTCAGGGCTGTCTGTGCTGGTGTTGACCTACATTCTCTTCTAGTTGTTGCAACGTTTCTCATCTAATTTCTAGACTTTGATCTGTTTTGAGTTTGCTTTTCTGAAGGGTGAGAGGGACCTGGTTTCATATTTCTATCTACAGATACTTGGCTTTTCTAGCGCCATTTGTTTAAAAGGCTGTTGTTTCTCCACCATGTTTTGGAGCCTTTGTGGGGGGTCAGATGACTCTGTGTGGGTTGTCTCTGGGTTCTGCTCAGTTTCTCTCATTTCCGTTGTTATCCCTGTACCAAGCTGGGCTCTTCACTGAGGTTCTGCAGAAGGACTCAAACCAGGCATGAGACTCCTCCAGCCTGGCTCGTTCTGTTCAGAATGGCTTTGGCTGCCCTGGGCCTTTGTGACGGACTTTGGGATGGATGGATGTAGTGACCTTCTTTGTCTCTTGTGATTCATTGTGGGTTGAAATCTGCTTTGCTGGATAGAAAGAAGCGACTCCTGCTTGCTTTCAGACAAGAATATGCATTTCAGGCTCCGACTGTGTAAGTTTTCTATGTCCTCCTGATTCAGTCTTGGCAGGTCATCTGTGCCTAGAAGTGTCTTCATTTCTTCTAGGTTTTCCACTTGATCAAAGCATACGTTTTAAAAATCCTAATGATATTCTGGATTTTTGTGATGTCTATGATGATTTCTCCTTTTTCATCTCCAATTTTATTAATTTGGGTCTTCTCTCGCTCTCTTTGTTTAGTTTGGATAAGGGCTTATTGATCTTGTTCTGTTTCTAAAGAACCAACTCTTAATTTAGTTGGTCTTTGTATTTTTTATTCTCAATTTGATTGATCTTGACACTGATCTTAATGATTTTCTTACTTCTACTGGTTTTGGAATTGGCTTGTTCTTCTTTTTCTAGGACGTTGAAACGCCTCATTAGGTTGTTTATTTGGAAATTCCTGATTTTCTGATGTAGGCTCTCATAGCTGTAGAGTTTCCTCTTACGGCTGCCTTCAAAGGGCCGCAGATGTCCTGGTGTGCCGTATCATTACTCTCCTTCGAGTCTAAGAATTTTTGAATTTTCCCCCTGATTTCTTCTATCACTCATTCATCAGTCAACAGTGTATTGTTCATTCTCGATGTGTTCATATCATTTCTACAGGGTTTTTGTGTGTATGTCCAATTTCATTCCATTCTGATAAGATACAAAGAATTTTATGAACTGTTTTTCATTTGCTCAGATTTGTTTTGTGACCCACAATATAGTCTATTTTGGAGAAAGTTTGTTGATCCACTGAGAAAAAAAAAGTGTATTGTAATAAATTAAATATTCTATATATAAATGTGTGTGTGTTTGTTAAATCCATTTACTTTATAATACATCCAAAGAGTCTTTCCTGTGCTCATGTCTGGACGACCTGACTGTTGGTGAGAGAGGTGTGTTGACACCACCTCGTATTACTGTCCTGGGGAAAACCTGGTAATTAAATTCCAGTCGTGTCTGTTTTATGGAATTAGGTGCATCAATGTGTGGGGCATAAATATCTACCATAATCATGGCCTTTTGATGACAGGTTCCTTTACCGGGAGGAAGTGACCTGGTCTTCCTCTCTAGCTGCCGGGTTGCAGCCGGCTCCGTCCCCATGGTACGCCAGTCCCACCCCTCACTTTCAGCCTGGCTCCTCCAGGTGAGGTGGGCTCTTCGAACAGCACTCGGTTGGGGCTTGTTTTAATCCATCCTGACAGCCGTGTCTTTGGATTCAGGAATGGAGACCATTTACATTCCGTGCTGTCATGGAGAGATGCTGATCGATTCCTCCATTTTGATTTATTTCTAGTGTTTTAATTGGGTCTTGTCTCTCACTTGCTTAGCTCCTCTTCAAATAAGATCTGCTCATTTGGGGGCTCTGGGGTTTGCTGTTGATTTCTTCGGTATGGAACATTTCTTTTTTAAACTCTTTTTTGGACACAATATCTTTGTTTACTTTTATGTGGTGCTGGGATGGAACCCAGTGCCTCACGCGTGCGAGGCAAGGGCTCTACCACGGAGCCCCCTCCTCAGGCCCTGTGTGGAGTGTTTCTTTAAGTATTTTCTGTAGTGCTGACTTAGTAGTCATGGATTCTTTGCATTTCTGCGTATTCTGCAAAGTTTTATTTCTTCTTTGACTTTGAAGGATACCTTTGCTGGGTACAGCATCTTGGTGGACAGTTATTTTC